CTTCACAGGTCTCTGGTGATGTAGCTAGGAGGAGCCAAGCCAACATCATGCAGGAATAATTGAATAGAATGACTTAGTAAATAGATTTTTAAGCTTTTGTGAGGAGGAGATTAAGATTTAATTCCCTACTATGTCTAACTTAGACTCAACAGGATTTTGTTTTGATGTGCAATGAAAAGAAATTCTGACTTTGGCAGAGATGATGAAAAGTATAAGAAGAAATTAAAATAAATGACTTTTTCTATTCCTGGTTTAGCGTTCAGGTGGCTGTTATGATGCATAATAGGTTTATGACCTTAGTTAACCAACCAAATATTAAATGCCAATCTTAGAAGTTTTGCTTGAGTATGAACCATATTTTTCTACATCAGACATTAATAAGGATAGACAAAGATTTTGATAGTAGGGTTAATTTTTTTTAATACTCCCTAGTTATAGACAGTATTTTAAAATTAGTAGGTGGGTGGAATTTTGAAATGTGCATATAATTTTAGGAAATACATGTTCGCATATGAGATAAGAGAAGAAGCATGTGTATGATACATTACTGTGGCTTCAAATAAGATTTTATTCTGATTTCCAAGAAAATCCTATGCTGTTTTCTGCTTTCTTTTTTTTTTTTCTTTTTTATTAAAACCAGAAATATTCCATAACAAACTTGTGTCATATAATCCTTGGGTAAATCAAGTTTTTTCAACCAGTATATTTCTGTCTGCAGTTCTATGATCTAAGGTTTCATAGATTTATGTACCACCTTGAAAGTTTTTTTTGTCTTTTGTGAGAAATGATAAACTATAGTCACAAAGCAAAGTATAGCATTCATATGTGGATATATTTTTTCATTCCCTTCAACTAGGAGATAAATTATTCCAGTTGTGTGCTGTGATTCTCCTAGTTAAAAGAACAAATCTATGGGTAGATATCTATAAAAGACTTTTTTGTGAACAATATAATACATTTGTAGCTGCATTGATACTGAGCAAATTAAAAATTCTTGGTGTGGAAAAAATGATACTGGGGTGTAAATATATCTTAAGACATATTTGGAAAATTTATATATATATATACATGGTCAACTTAGTGATCCCATAGTTAAGACTACAACTTGTAGACCTGTGGTTATCTTGTAGACCTCTGGTTATCTTGTAGACTTTCGTGTTTCTGCCAGATAAATAAAATTACATTTCTATCTATCTTTTGCAATTGACTTTTGTAAGTCTCAGACCAATATAAACATACTCAATCCTGTCTAACTATCACTAATGAAGTAAATACAATATTATCTCAAACCAGAATTACTCTACTCATATTCTAAAGTAGAAAGAAATTCTACATATGTAAAACCAAAATCAGCCACATGATAGCCTGCAACCAATAATTTAATACTAGATTTTATATAGGTAATTACGTTCATCTTTACTTTTCCTCTTTAATTGCTATTTTCTTTGTTATTGTTCAAAAGGGGTGTGTGGGGGGTGGTGGTGGTATTCTCACAGTTATTTTATCCTATTTACCCTTCAGATTCTGTCACTCAATAACAAAATATTTCCTGTCCTTTTTTGTGTTTAGAGATTTTGGATGAGAGCATATTAGGATATATAAAATGGCAGCATCTTATTTTTATGGACAAGTACTTTAGTATGATACAAAGAGAATAATGGAAGCATTCCACTCCCCCACCCACCTTCTGCCTTTGTGTTATTAAGGAGCAGGAGAGGTTTCAGATGGTGTCATTGGTTGCCTGAGTCCTTCAGTGACTGAGTTAATGCAGGCACCAGAATTAGTAAGCTTAGAAAGACCTTCTTACTGAAGATATTGCTTAGTAAAGTACACTAAGTTTATTTTTTTAAATAAATAATGTAAGTAAATCAGAATGTCCACTGTTTAACTCTGTTGAATTCAGTAGATTTTACACTAGTCAAAGCAGAGTAAGGAGTTTTGCCCTAAATCTTCTTCAGATGAGTTAACTTTACATTAGTTTTTTTATAGCACTCATAAACTATATGCTTTTCAAGGTTCTTGGAAATCCGAATTTAAAGTAAACCTCTTCAACTGCCCAACGGTGGAAGGAAAGAGGTATGGGAATTGCTTTATAAGATGTGAGTGGTTGCAAGGTTTGACATACTTTTTAAAGAGTACTTGTGGCCTTTAGCTAGATGCTGGAGCTCTTCAGAAAGATAAACAGATAAAATAAGAAGTCTTTTTAAAAGGCCTTTCTAATTAATTTGCTTACATAATTTCATAACCTTTCCAGGACAGAGAAAATATTTCTAATTTTTTACTCTATTTAGTCAGTAGAATATACTTTATGACATCAGGCTGTGGAATATAAAAAAACACTCAAAGAAAGAATTTGAATCAGATATAAACTGTGAAAACCTATAGTCGTGGTAATTTATGGAGAGTATTATATAGTATGTGTATTATGCGTACCATATGTATATATTATAGTAACAACTGTCATCAAGTGTAAGGGATTGTTTCCCTACTTTCTTACTGTAATAATATAATCAGCATATAGAAAGTAATAACAAATTTACTTGATTATTTTAGAACTGTGTAACAAAAAACATGTATACGCAAAAGTTTTTACGGCATTAGAGTAAAGTATATTCCTTTTCATGAAAACCCAACCTGCAAAAAACCCTAACTGTTTCTTAACGTGGGAGCTTTCGCGTTTTTTGGCAGATGGAGAAGGTGGAAAAGTAAGGGAATTGTGCTCTTTACTCTAAACCACACTTAAATCTCCTTTGAGTGCTATGAGTTTAAATCAGCGTTTTTGACATCTTAATACAGATGCATGAATTATCTTCCGGCAAACAACAAGGAGATTAATAAAAAACTGTTCTCTCAGCACCTTGCTGATTTAACCTGCTTACCTCCTTCAGCATATCTTGCTCTCATTAAACTGCATACGCATGGTCCTTTTTTTTCTTTTTATTTTTTATTGAAAATCTTACATGTATGACTAAAAGTCATGGGTGATATCTTTCAGTTCCATTACAAAATCTGTCATATATATATACTTATATATATATTTAATACAACTAGAAGCAAATCTACTGAATTATGAAGTAATGATTGTCTACTAAAATTTAACTCAAATTAAATCTGTTGCAGATGTTAAAAATTATTTTGTTTTCTCTGATGGAGCTGAAGGCCACTTTCACATATTTAATTGATCATGTTGTGCTGCAAAAATTACAAAGCCTTAATGATAATTTCCCATCTCCCAGCCTGGTGTCAACCATACATTAGCATTTTAGTACAAGGATCCTTCATTTCAGCAAGTAGTACTTTTAGAGTAAGCATCACCCTCTATGGAGTACCTCTATTCACAAACACAGTCCTGCAAACAATTCTGTATACCTCTCAGTAAATGAAGGCAAGTAAAGTCATTTCAAGTTAGGTATAAGCAAAAATGTTTGCAGGAGCAGAGTCTAACTTCAGAACTCATCAACAGATTATCTAAACTGAATCCATATGAAATAATAATTAAAACCACTATTTTACTTGAATATATGCCTTATTATCTAGTCATAAATCATGAAGGGTGAAGTATAAATATTGTCAGAATCATAAAAAAGTTGTCTTATTCTAAGAAATCCTACTTCAAAATCGTACAGCATTTTAACTAACAGCAACTGTCCTTCTGTTTTGGCACTCCCGAACCAGTGTAGAAATTATGTGTAGTGAGTTACTTTTGGGGAAGAATACTTATGTGCAGCAGGATCTAAAGATGCATTCTGGAGTTAATAGCATTACATTGCTTAACATAAGAAAGAAATTGAAGAGTCTTTTACTGTGATTCCTCAGTAACAAAAGAGATCGGGAAGAAGAAAAGCAAGGTGTTTACAGTCTTTGAAGCATATAGCCTGTTTAACCTTGAAAATTAAATCTTGCATTAAAGACACTCCCAGCTACCTCTGTAGTCTTCTTTCAAAAAATTCAATGTACAAATATTTTATTTAAATGTCTCAGACTTTTTAATGGCTCAGAAGAACTACTGCATGTCCTTGGAGCTGCCCTCCTTTCTGAGAGATGAATGGTGGGTAAGATTGCTTTACTGTAATTTCTCCATTTCCATGCTTCATTTCCTACATTTATCTGAGACTGGAGAAAAATCAGCATGTTCTGATGAGTCTAATACCATGAGGCAGTAAAATGGACCTGAATTTAGTGAAGATTGGAGCTCCAAAATAAATATAACACTTTATGTCAAATAATAATAAAAAAGGATAAGTTCTCCTGTACAAATCAGAAGAGATAATAAAAAACAGCAAATAGATAGCAACATCTTTCCTATACCTACATAGGCATCACTAAACTTCTCAACCATAAGAATACCCCTCCATATTTCCCATTTTATGTGGTTTGCAAAATTCAACTTTGGTAACTTGGTGACAAACATCATCAATGTACAAACATCACCAATGGATTTCTTAGTACAAAGAGTAATTTTTCATAAAACTGCCCAGCAAATTACAGAAACTTCTAATTGAGTAGCTCTGAGAGCAAACAGAAAGAAGCAAAAAAATTATCTGCTGGGCTTCTCTTTGTTTTAATGTCTGCCCTTCTGTTTTTGTTCTAGCAAGCTGCATGCAACACTGTAAAGAAAATTTCTTAAAAAAACCTTGCATCCATAAATACTATGTTGCATTGAATGATATACTGTATTTGTAAATTTGTTTCTTCTTAAACTTATCAGAGACACTGTGTGCTAGATATGGCAATACTGCGAAGGCATCTGCAGAGTATCATTGGCTCATTGAGGTCACAGTGCATAACATACTCTTGAAAGTGAGTTGCCTCTGCAGGTATCTGAGGGTTGCTATCTATTTGAACGTGGCTGAGCATTTCATTTTATCAAAAATGCCACCAAATGTTCATATTCTGTGTGGTCAGTGCAGTCCCTAGGACAGCTCTAATGAATATATGTTCCACCAAGGCAAAAAAACCTAAAAGGTTAAAAATGGAAAAATATTTACAACTTTTCTTCAGTCTGTAAGGTTAAGTTTTCTGTTTTATTATTCTTCAGTGCATTTTCAGAGAAAAAGTCCAAGGCTATGAGTATAAGCATTCTGGTCCAGTCCCATACATATCCGCAAGCCTTTTAAAGCGAGGGCCCCAGTCACTGAGGTAATCGTAATTCTGGTCAGAGTTTGAGCTGATCGAATCTAAAGAACTGAGAGACTCTGCCACCGAGCCATTTCCCTCAAATGCATATGTCTGCAGGGAGTCGTAAGGTGGCGCACAGGGGTCCATGTCAGCTTCTTTTAGTCTTTCCCAGATAAATTCCCTAAAAATGACATTATCTGGGATGCTTTTAAAAGTTGGTCTGCTCAAGAACTGAATCTCGGGTGTCACATCCCTTCTGGTCTTGGTGTCTCGGATGATGTTGAGGTTTCTCAAGGCAGCCATGTCAAAAGCCTCAGTGTCTTCTTCTCCTCCACCCTCATCATCATACCTGACAATGTTCTCTCTGATATCTCTCTCTTCATCAAAAATGAGGGGCTCCTTTTTCCGTCGCCTCATGGTGACAATCAGCAAGACAAGAACTGGAACACAGAAAGACTGGAATTTTAGCAGTGCTAAAGTTTCCTTATATTTGTCCCAGTGGTGGAAGTATTCATTAATCTATATGGCAAAGATCCAAGGAAATAACAGGCAATTTATACAGTTAGATTTAAAACCTAGGAGGTCCTGAAACAGCTTTTAAACCATAAGCTTTTTAGACATTAAAAAATCTCTTTCTGAAGCATTCAGAATTAACATCATCTCTAATTCTATATCCTATGCTGTCCACTAAACATAAATTTTAGGACTGGTTCAGTCTATTACAATCTCACAGTCACGAAAAAAAAAAAAAAAAACAACCCACCAAACAAAAAAACTCCTTTTCCTGCACTCTTAATTACCCAAGGGATAAAAGCACATTCATAAAGTACCTGAATAGAATTTAACAACCATGGTTTGGGAAGTGGCTGAATTAAAGTATGTGGCCAATCTCTGCTAAATCATAGATTAGAGAACACTGAATTGTTAAGCAATGTGTAAAATAAAACTGTCCTAGTTCACGTATTGAAAGTATCTCTATATAAGATCTCACTTTCCTATAAAGTGCAAAGTACTGTACTTGAGGTTTATGAATTACATCTAATGAGAGGAGCTAGGGCTGGAATTTATTGGATCAGCCAGTGCTAGAAATGTAATTATTTTTTTAATTTTAATCCCTAAAATTTCTTTCAGTTTTGCAATCTACTACTAAATTGCAGTGACAGCCAAAAGAACTTGGAGAAACTAAACTCAAGGCTCCTCTGGTTTAAATACAGGTTTAGTAGAGAAACATCATTGCTGACATGAAAAATATGGAACCAGTAATATGAATATTGAACCCATCTGTGGGACACGATGGAGTGTGAATCATCCTCCTAGAAAATAATTAATACCATACTGTAGCATCTGGACATTTGCTGAGTTAATAATACTCCTAGATAATAACAGGCATCACTATGGCTGTAAAAATAACAGTACATTGAAAAGTGTCATTCCACATTCAATTATTCTTTTCTGATTTTATGTTTATTTTTAATCTTGAGTATATGTGATTATATGCATTCATATGTCTAGGGCTTACAATCCTTACAGAATTTTGAAATGACAACTAAATGCTGTAGAAACATCTGGAAAAACAAAAGCTGATACTGATGAAATTAAGCATGAGCTTCCCTAGGTAGTCACAAAAGTGGCCTCCATAAATAGTATGATGTAGGACAGTCATTCTTGAAAAACCTTTTTTTCATAGAAGAATTTTTAAAATCAGTATCAATCTAGTCATTTGGAGACATGATTTATTATTAGGATCACTCAGAATAAAATAGTCAATCAGAAAATGTACATGCAGAAAACTCTCTATAGACATTACAGTACTACTTAGAATTGACTAAAGCTTAAGGTGACTTTAAAGGTAGGCTTTCTTCAATCCTTTTTATTTTTCTTTGGAACCATCCATGTCTAAAAATAAAACTGGAAAAAGTTAACTTTTTTCTAAACTTTTTGACAAATATATTAGGCAATATTTTTCCCCCTTTTTTTCAATAGCTACCAGGGACACATCTAATGATCCATTTACTAACAGATGCCTTGTGACTCTATTACTGCAGCATCAGCATCACTCACTTTTTTGCTCCTGGCATCTCCCTGATTTGCGCTTTATATATTAAATTCAGAAGCCACTAGTTCAGGGCATTTTGGTTTTTGTATATTTGAACAATATTTACATAAGCAGCTTGACAATACAAGTTTTTGACCTTTAAAGTGGCTTTCATGAAATTTCATAACATTCTGATATTTCTATATTACATATTGAGTTGTAAATTATACTGCAGTGAACATAAAATTGTTATCATAGAGGCAACAATTGCACTCCACTCATTGTTTTTCTTTATTATATGATATATTTTAAAGTGAAAGACAAATTAGATTGCTGACAGTACAAATATACAGTTAAGCCAAGATTGCCATTGGCATAGCTTTTTAATTACTGCCACAATTTTATTGCCATATATGTAGGCAGCTAATAGTTTCCTTTACTCAAGTGTAAATGCCTTTTCACACCACTGTCTCTCTTAACATACTCTTAAAATACTTTGTTTTGAAAGTTAAATACCTGCTAATAAGTGAAAAATATGAAATTTAGTAGGCAGGTCTGCGTAAAGGTACAATAAAAAATCAAGATACTATGAATGTTTTATATAGTATTCCTTGTGCATCTCACACTTGCTTAAAGCCAAGAAAAATATGGAGTCTTTCTAAAGGTTAAATATTTTAGCATTTAGATGGTTTTATGGGAATATTAATTTCTAGTCTTTCCAACACTTGTGAGCAGGAAAGTTTAACCTCTAAATGAACAAATGTTTAGCTTTATTGCAAGAACTGCAGATTTAAATACAAGCCCCAAACAAATCCCACTGATATCTAAATCAAGTGCAAGTGATTTTAAAGCTTATACATTTCTTATTAAATAATGATGGGGGTGGGGGGTGTTCCCTACATTTATCACACAAGCAGAGTTTAAATCTGTAATTAGTCACTAGCTGAGCATCTAGAAAACCAGATCTTACACTTTTTAGAGAAGAAATAATGCAATCATAGAATCAAGTATGTTGGAAAAGACCTTTAAGATCATTAAATCCAACTGTTACCCCAGGACTGTCAAGTCCACCTCTAAACCATGTCACTAAGGAATGAATGGAGAAATGGAAAAGCTTAAGGGACATACATATTGCACTTTGAGGCCACTAGTTTGGCTCTATACTGGTACACAGAACTCATGCTAAAGAGATGAAATTACATTATTGATTTCATATGTGATTTAACAAATAAATAAACCAATCAATATTAGAACTAATTACAAACACTAAATATGCAGAAGTAATGGAAAATCTAAACTAACCTGTTTGTTCTGATTTACACCTGAATTATTAGAAATGTTGATTTTGTTTAACAGGTGCAATAACCAAGAGAAAATGTCATTTGTGTTTATATTAGCTGTGGTAATACGCAGTTTTATCCTTGTGTCAGTATAGATGCAATGATAGTATAGTAGTTCAGTTCACCTAAATCAGTCTTTAAACAAACACCTTTGAATACAAGAGCACATTTTGTTTTGTTATTTTTCAGTGTGCTTTATGGAATTATGAAATTTCCATTTTGTATGATCTGGTAAAAAGTCAGATTTAGTCCACCTGAGCATGGTTTTCTGTTTTAGTATTAATCTTTCCTTTTGTACTCAAGGCAACTGCAACATAATTATAAGGAACTGTAGAATCCCTGAGATAACCTGAGGGAGAACACTACATACAGAGCTGTGCAGTAACGGACAAAGCTAAATCACAAGCATTATCATGCCATGTATACACTACACCCTTAAGCCTGGTATTTACTATAGCAGTAAGCCACATCAGCTGCAAGCAAATCTGCACATTGGTTTATGCCTTAGGTGTGTCATGATTCATAAATTTGAAGACTGCAGATCCTCAGTCATCTGAGCAGCACACTAACAACCTAGTTATACCTTGCAGTTGCCAATATAGTCAGATGAGATCTGGGTATTACAGAGGCCAAGTCTCAGGAAACCTGCATTTAATTCGCAGTTAATAATCTTCATATATAACTGTTGTTTAATCGGTTTGGATTGGTATTTGTAAAGAGACCATGACCTTTAAATGCCCACACTGAGAGACCTTAATCAGCTCCATAATTTTCAGAAAACTGCGTCAGCTCTGCTTACTCAACCACCTTTTAAATTACTTAATTTGAATACCCTCAAATTAAAACAGTTATAAATTTATTACTCTTAAAAATGCAAGACCAAAACCCACACATCCAACATAGTCATATTCTCTACATATTTTACCTATGTAGAGAAAAAAATCCTTATGACTGGGACCGCTTTTTCTTGTTTATGAATCACACAATTATGTGTGCTAATTTAATTGTGTTCTTGTAGGTATTGTGATAATAAATTCCACATCCTGCAACTAAAAAAAAAATAAATCTATATTTTGAAGTTTAATCAATAGATATTATTGTTTATATATTTATTAACCATTTTTAAATATAATATTATTTTATTGTAAACTCTAGTATCACACTGATATGAGGCTTTTTTGGTATTTCTAAGAAAATAAGTAATAATAGATTATATTCAGAAGTGAGGAAAATGAAAATTGTGAAAAAGCATTATGTCAATCTAGCTTACATTGTTTCAATACAAAGAAAAACTTTAACCTCTCAAATAGGATTGGGTTATCTACAGGTGAACATTTTTTTCTGTGTGGTTTTATGTACACATTTTATGCTAAACACTTGTTACAAAAGCAATTATTTTGTCTGGAAGATACTAACTGAAAAACAAATTACTTAGAATTAAATTACCATATAATATTCAGAGAAGTTAAGAAAATTTCTACTTACCTCTCCAAAATCATATACAGTCTAAAATGAAGAAAAACTAGATTTTCATATGCTTTTTATAGAATAAATTGCAGGAACTTTTTTTTGTTTTGTTTTGTTTTGTCTTCAAAACAGCTTCACTGCAGACTGAATAATTATAAAGCAGTTTTGAGTAATTAACAAAGTAACGGAACTTTCTTGTGGAATAAAATTTAGAATTTAATCTCCATCAGTCAATATGAGGAAGGAAAAAGATCTTGGTAAAATGGTTTTAACTTTACAAAATTATTTTAGTTTGAAAAAATAGTCTACACCATGTTATATACAATTATAATGAATAGGTATGATTTAGTAGCATTATTAACATTAGTGAAAATATTGTGATTAACTAAAATTGATTAGCTGTTTAAGTAAAAATAATACTAAGAAATCCCCCTGAGACAATGTGACCCTTGGTCAAGACAAATGGTTATTTTTTAGACAGAGGGATGTTTGGGGCAAGAACAAATACCAAAGTACATCATGCTAACTTTAGGAAAACAAGAGCTTGCTAAGAATTCAAGATACCAGTGCCAGAATGCATGTACCCATGACATTTATGCAAATTTCATGCCTCCTTTGCCTTACAACTGGCACTCACGTTGATGATTGCACTGCATGTGAATCTTGGACCAGAAAAAAACTTTGATCTGGTAGCCTGTCTCCACTTGTCACTGATAAACTCTTGCCCAAAAATGTGCATCCCTTGGTCCCAGCTCTGGAACCACTTGCCAACAGCTGAAACCTGTTTTTTATGCTGTGCTACTGGATCTTCAGGATTATTTTTTCAGGAATGTATGTGAAGAAAAAAAAAAAAAAAAAGGAAAGAAAGGGAAAGTGAATTCCTAGCAGCATTCAGCTGATCTCAAAAATGTCTTCTAGGAACAAATGAGAGAAGAAGAAAGGCTTCGGGACCAGACAAGCAACAACACTTGACTGTTTTAACTGGGCATCGGTGATGCTTAGGCACTTCTTCCTTGGCATCTGGCGGTTAAAAAACAGCAACAGGATGCAAATACCAAAATGCAGGACTCAAAGCCAGGGTTAACATACAAACACAGCCTAAGCTGTGCCTGCAGCTTTGAGTTGTACCCAAAAGGAACAGTTTAGATTGGAAGTGATGACAAGCACATACATATGTCTATTTGAATAAACAATGGTGATGCATTCAGAGAGCTGAGTTTGGAAGCCCAATTCTTTGACAAATAAAATCAATGGTGAGATGGTCATATGCAAGATTCCTTTCAAATGCACAGCCCATTATTCAAAGAGCTTATCCTCAATTCTTTACGAAAAGCTTCTTCAGCACACTCTAAAAATTGCCAGAACAAAACTTTAGGTTTCTTGACTTCTTTGTTGTGTTTGAACCCCTGGTTCACTGAGCAGAATAAGCAAATTATTGCCTGGTAACATGCTGTGTCTCCACTTAGTTCTCTTCTTTAAGACTTTATGGCTTCCATTTAAGAAAAGCGTATGGACAGGACAGGCTGTGTTGTATCTACAGTAGTTTGTAATCTTCAGAAATTTTTTTTATATATGTAACAGAAATTATGATGTTTCAACTTGGGATGAAGTGAATTGTTATTGTTACAGAATTTTTCTTAACTGCAAAGTTTTAAACGGGTGTTTTACTACTGATGCCAATGCCAGTTGATATAAGAGAATCTTCCATATATTTTTTTGAAATTTACCATTTAGCTTCATGTCCAAATAAAGTTCATTTGTGTGTATAAATGGCCTAGAAATGCTACTAGAAATATGACATTTAAAAAAAGTCATTAAAACTTTTGGCAATCATTCCCTTCCATTTCTCCTTTAACCTCAGCCTAACCATTTCTTGAGTGAGTTTAAACAATCTGTTGTTGTTTGGGGTTTTTGTCACAAAGATGGAACAGTCTGGAAATGCCATCTCTTATACATAGCTCCTGAGGAAGTTGGATGGGTTCAATGCAGAAGTAGTGATTTTTCTTACTCTGTAACCAAGAATGCAAGAGGATTTCCTTTCTTGTCTCTTTTAGAAATATTTGTAGCAGAAGAGATATTTCTTTCCAATGGCTCACAGCAAGGCAAATCAAAGTCAAGAAGAAGAGATATTTATACATTGATGAGATACTGCCATGAATAGAAGTGTGGACAAAAGTCTCTTGATTTGACCTATTCAAATTACTTTGTTAACAGTGACAGATATATCACCACTGGGGTTATACTAACCTGAGGAGACTATGGTATACCCTTTTCCCGTTAGACTGGTACGTACAGCCAGGGAATACAAAAATCTCGCCATTGATAACAACACACAAAGAATTATTGTGTGCTGAACTGGTACCCATGTTAACACATGAACTTTCTGACAATAAACAAAACTGCACTTTTGCTCAACCACATCCTGTAAATGCAGGATGATCCTTCATCTTTACTCCTTGATTTGGGCCTCTATTACTACCATGTAGTCATTTTGCTTAAAGGCTGAGCATAGAATGAGAAATGCTAACCAAACTAGGATGTTGACACTATTCCACTGTTTTCCAGTGTCTTTTATTTAATTGAACAACATAAACCCCAACTGTGCTGCCAGATGCAGAAGTAACAAAAGGTCATTCTGTAGAAGATGATCAATTAAATATTATTTCCGTCAGTAAATTACCTCTGTTGTATTTTCTGGATGTCATTTGTTCTATATAGATCAATAAATGTTAAAAAATAGCTGTATCTGAAAAAAAGGGACACACTGGTACTGGTGATACAGTAAGTATGCTAATCCAAATACTCTATCTCTTAAACATAACATTTGACGCAAGTGATCTTTTTTTTTCCTCTTACTACTATTTCATATATACATGTCTGGAGGCAGCTTGATGTATGAATAAAGTATCTGAACTTGAAAATCCCACATGAAAAATTTTGTGTGCCTCATGATACAAAATACTGTTCTACCTGGAATGTTAGGTGTCCCAGTTTACAGAAATCAGGTGGGGGAGGAGGAGGAAGCAGTGTTGAAGCTTTTGTACATATCTGTCTGTCTGTCTGTCTGTGTATCTATGTATGTATGTATGTATGTATGTATCTATCTATCTATCTATCTATCTACCTATCTATCTATCTATCTATCTATCTACCTATCTATCTATCTATCTATTGCTACTATACATTGAATGGAAAATAGAAGTAACAGGAAGAAGACGTACCTAGCAGTGTCAAGACACAAGCCAATATTGCAATCAGGGCTCCAGTGCTAAGTCCTGCAGGCAAGATATATGCTTCTGCATTGCATGACTGAGCAATACCATCTGCATCACAATCACAGACTCTGATGGTGAGGGTATTAGTGCTACTAAGTGAAGGTGATCCACTGTCCACAATGAATATTGGCAAGTAGAAAACAGACTGTTCCTGTCTTCGAAACCCATTTCGTCTGGTTAATACTGTTGCAGTATTATCTAGATAAAGGAATATAAAGATAAATATTAAATACATGACCTTTCTAAACCACAAGCCTATAGATAAAACAGTCTTTCACTTGAAACGCTTTATAAACACATTTTTATTATTTCAACAAGATTATCTTTCCTGGCATATATTTTTGATGCTGCAGAGATAGAATCAGCTAAGAAACAATACCTAACTAAAAAAAAGATTTCTATTTTTCACAAATGACTGATTCAAAATTGCAGAGGTCTATTTAATTTTAGTTAAGCTCACAGTTCCACACTCTTGATGTATAGCTGAAGATGAGATCATTATTAAAAAAATATATAAAAATTTACCTGTTGGTGATCAGATTAAGTATTTATGTACATGTTTCCAAGGATCTATTTCAATTACTTACAGATATAGCTATAACATTTAATGTAAGGGATTAACATATCAATAGGAGAAGAAGTTCTGAAGAGCAAGGAAATATTTTTGAATGCAAACCCAAAATCCAGTTGGTACACAAATACAAGTAATTGCACATGTAAGAAAGATATGCACTTGTTTTTTCGTCTAATCTGAGGGTCAAGATGACTACTATAATCCATCTAAAATGCATGGTTTGATGCTGCTCTGAGTTGGGTGATTAAAAAGTCCTTGTCTTTCAGAAAACATGTACAAAACTCACTGTGTTCAATACAGGTTGACAGCTCCTGAGAGGTAGGGAATGTATATGTGTATATATATATATATTTTTTTTACATAAAATGTATAGAAAAGGTTGGTCGGTCTATCTGTCTATCTATCTACTGATCTGTCTACTTATAGACAGATATATTTATAATCCTGTAAAGTTATCTTTTTGTGTCATCTATTATGACCTATCTGGCAAAATATGCAAGCACTTGTTCATATAGCATCATATGAGATATGCATAAAATTAATTAACATCAAAAGAGGCAATTGCCGTTGTGTTTTGTAACTCCATTGATTTTACTGTCATTGCAAAAGTCTGTTATTACTGTTTTTTTCAAATTATACATTCTCTGAAAGATGCTTGTCTTTTCATTAAATACTTTACAGTACTTGTAACGATGTCAGATTTCTGACTAGAGTCTTATTCTAATGTGTTTTTATTATTTTTATCATTATTACTATTACAGTCTTTAGTTTTGAACTGCAAGCTGCTCATATGAAGAAAATTAAGCATGTCAGTAACTACATGAAGGGTAAATCAACAAATAGCTGTGCAAAAGAACTTTATTAGGTCACGTTATGCTTAGTGAAAGTTGTTCAAAGTCTGTCTGTACAAACAGTATCCTTTAGTCTACCATATGTCTGTTTTTCTTTTTTTAATAATAAGGATGACTTTGTAGCTCTGGTTTAGTACTGATCCATAAAAGAGCAAGAGTAACATAGTGTCTATCTAGTTCTATTTGCTTCAGTTAATAGCTAAACTGACTGATGCATGCCCAGCTGCCTCATATGCAGTACAACTAATGAGAACGCCAATTAGACGCCAGTTCTCAGATATTTCAACTAATAGAAACATGATGTCAGTGGGAGTCTCTGCATAAGACTTTGGGGAAACAGTCATAAGAAGTCTGCATAAATATTGTAGGCAGGTTCCATTATTAAAAACATTCTTCAATAGGTAGTATACTTACTGAAAAGATGTGGTTTTCTAAAAAAAACAAAAACAAAAACAAAAACAAAAACAAACAAAGAAACAAACAAAAAAAATCACAAAAGAAAAAACACCAAACAAAAATGTGCAAATAAAAAAAAAAAAAACAAATGCAAAACGAAAAAAACACTTATTTTTTTATGCTCTGAGTTATATTAATAAAACATGAATTCCTGGACATTTTCCAGTCATGACCCCAAGATGAAATCTAACTTAGGTAAAAATCTATAAACACAAGGAAAAAATGTGAGAAAAGTGACTTCTGGAAATTTTTTTTTTTTTAAGCTACTTTATTTGGCTCAAGGCTTTAAATGATTCAAACAACAGCTTACTTTCCTTGACAAATCTATAGATAAATTATTTTGTAGGTTGATTGTACTTCAGTTTATTTCCTTACCAGAATAGAAGTTTATGTAGACCATAATCAGCACAATATACTCAAATTGAAAGGTGTTAGTGGTGAATATTTACCCCCAAAAAATGCCCTTACCTTTGTTGTCTTGCAGTGTAAAATTGTGGTTATTTGCTGCTTCTGTTGTTAAACTGAAGTAGAACTGATGGCCATTTGGTGGATCATCTTTATCAATGGCACTGATTTTCTGGATCACCTGTTTTGAGATACATCGGGGTTCATTGTTTGAAATGGTAAGAAGCATAAATATATGTGCATTGTATAATCCCTCCATTTCCTATTGAAGTATCAACACTTCCTTGAGTCCTGCCCATATTGCATTTTGGCTTTCTAACCTCCTAAGCATGTGTAGATACTAAAAAACCAAAAAAGTGATGCAGCTCTTTACTTTCCCTGAACCAACTTTATTGACCAAAAGCAATGATTCGCAGGGCCTATGAGAAAGTTAGGTCCTGTCATTCACCAGAGCTTGGAGTATAAACTGCTTAGCAGTAGAAGAAATGTATGGACCTTTATGTAGTTGTCAGTGACTGCAATTCATGTTGTAAACTTTCACAAGGAAGCAATTATTCCTTTGAGCATTTTAATTTATATACTTTTTTTTAAAATATGAAAAATAAAAAAGCCAAGTCGTTACTATATTAATCATTACTGGGTTTTGGTTTTGTTTTGTTTTTTTCTAAAATTCAGTCAAAATCTGCCCCCAAAAAGAGTTTTACTATTGCTTACAATCTATTAAGAATGAATACTCAGAGCTAATAGCTCTGACTAGATCCCAGGGGAAATAAACATATAGTCCAATGAGAGCACATATATTCTGTGTTTCTCATGAACACAAACCACTAATCATAGTGTTTTCTTTTAATCATTGAATTTATGCTGTGATTTTGAAATATGCAATAACAACCTCTGCCACAGGACGGACAATATTCAGGGAGAAGGAACAAAAGTGCAAAGTCTCCCAGGGAATATGTGGGATCCACATAGGTGAATCATTCACTAGTTTTCAGTAGAGAGAATAGAGAATGAGTGAATATTTTCCGAGGTCTTACAATGTAGAGAGGAAAAGTCCAAATATAAGGGACACCAAGGATAAACAACACCAGATACTTTTAGCTGAGTCTAGGACTATTTGAAACACGTTGAGAGAGTTAAAAACACTGGGGAATATGGTAGGAATATATCTCCCTTGTGAAAATGTGGCCTTATGGACCATACTTCTGAAGAGAAACAAAAGTACTCTTTTTAGAAATGGTAGGCCTTTAGTCTGAGAAAAACCTCCGTATCATGACTTTCCACTTCCCAGAAAGATTAGGAGGAAGTACGCATTCTTAATATTATTCAAAATTAGGTGAATTTTGTAAAAAGGGTAAGTTATATCAGTAAGAAAACCAGATATTTTATCAGTCCCTTAAACTAGTAATTTTTACACCAGAGTCTTTCTCTTCAGAGGTATGGTGAAGATGGTACGGTTTGATTAATATTGCTTGTGCTTCTCATCAAAGAATCACTTTTACTGGCATGATTCTACTTTATCTTAAAACTGGCAGGCATTCAGAATGAATGGCTGCCTATCTGATAAAAATAAACATTAAAAAATTATCAAGCCATACCTGACCAGCTTGAGCATTTTCACAGACGGTTGTCTCATACTCCATTGCAAACTCAGGGGCGTTGTCATTGATGTCAAGGATAGTTATGGCTACATAGCCTCTCCCAATTTGTGCTGGATTCTCTATAGGCAAAGAAGGCAACAAAACAATAAAGCATATCTTCTTGCAAATTATTCTTTGGGTCAGCACATTTTCATTTGCATTCTTCTTTTGTATATACGTGTCAAATCAACTACAATGCCTCCTAGAAAGACAAGGAAGCTCTTGGCTTGATCTTCTGGACCTGGTGGAAACAATGTTTATGTTTTACAGCTGCCTCAATTAAACTAAGATTTTAGTCTCGGGGATAAACTGAAAAATCTAACTCGTTAATTACAGCACTGAATCACATCATACGGAAGGATAAAAGTAAGATGGTGTAAAACCATCACCAAGGGGTATAGCTAGCCAGAACAGTGCTATGGTTATTATGGGTTAAATACATTTTTGTTGCAATTCAGATTGATCAGTATATTAAGAAGTTAAAAATAGAATTCCATCAGCTATGTATAACAGAAAAAAACAGAAAGCTATATACCCAAGCAAATTTCAAAGTATTTAAAGAGTACAGAGAACTAAGTATTTCAACGCTGTCATTAACACGTTGAACACCTTAAATATTAATCACATTCTTAAATTGAAGCACACCTTTAGCTAAAATATGAATCTGTTCAGGGTTCAACATCATAATTTAAACAGTAGATATTTTTTGACTACATATAAAGGACATCAGTGTGTGCTATACTTATTTTTCTAGATAACACTTCTGTTCTGGAGCAGGAAAAAGAGATATTGTATTATCTTTTTACCACAAATATTAATATTAGTGATAAAGCAGGGCAGAATGAAAAACTATACAAACCTTCATATATGTATCTATCTCTTTATAAGGTATTGCAATCACATTTCAGTAAATAAATATTTAAAGCAGTGCATCCAAACATAGATCACAAAATGTGATTTGGTTTGGGTTTTTTTTTCCCCACATGTGAAATACTAGAGGAGTAAGAAATTTCAGCAGCAACTTTTTCCTCTGCTGATTAAAGCTTATTCAAAACCAAGCAGGCCATAAACATACTTTAAAGCATTGTAGGGTATTACTTGTGTCTCCTAGATTGTCACTTGTGTCTCACTTGGCTGCCTTGACAGTTTTGTTACTACCCAAGAAAATTTTTGATTCCCATGCTTGCTTCCTAGAGCAAAATTCTGCTCCTGAGAATACAAGATAAATTCACACAGACACTGAATGACAAATGTTAGCTTTCAGGTTAAACATTAAATTAACCTTAGTGGAAGCAAGAAATGAGGATTTTTAAAATAGGCCAGAAAACTGATAACTCTTACTATTACAGCCCAACAGAGTAATAATAAGGATGAAATTTGAAGAAATATAGTTTCTTAGTTTCTTCAAATATAAAAGCAAAAATATATGTTTTTTACAGAATGTATTCAGAGCTAAACAAGTTTAGGTTTAAATTTGCATTAACAAAATTCTTATTTTATGCTTTTCAGTGGTTTGAGTCTTCAATATTTTTATCTTACATGTGAAAGGATACCAAGTACAATATATCTACAGTTTTACCTTAGGAAAGTGAAACCACACAAGCATCCACAAACCCTTTCTTTCATTCCATTTAAAAATGCTGTCGTTGACCAATAGCAATCAGCTCTGAGTGCCATCATTAAAATGATGTATTCTGTATCACTTTTCCTCTAATGATACTTCATCTGAGACTGTTGACTTAACATATCTCATCTTCCTTTGTATTTATTTTTCAGAAGTTGAGAGTCTATACAAGGTGTGAGGAGAAGTAAAGAGCAAATACTTTGTCTGTTGTATTTCTAACTTTTATCACATAGTCTTTTACACTAAGAACTTATTTTTATTGGCCATGCTATGAGCCTGTCATAATTTTTCTCAGTGCAGCTGATCACAACCAAATCTGAAGGTTTACACATAAACAGCCAATAAATCTTTAAATTGTTACTTACGACTCTCCATAGCCAAAACTGTGATATTATGAACAGCATTAGTTTCTCTGTCCAAAGATTTGGCAGTTGTAATGACTCCACTGTTGGCATCAATATTGAAATACCTCTCCAGGTCTGTGTTTCGATCTATCGAGTACCTAGGTGAAGGATGAAAGAAAACTTCTGATTTATGTTCAGGCACAGTCTGTAAAAATGTTTCATCAATCTCTTAATAGTGGAAAGGTTTTCACTCTTTTGCTATTTTGAGCATTGTTCTATCCACTGGGGTGTCAAGAATATTAATATGTGAGAGAGATACGCAATGACCTGTGCAGTCACAGTGTCCTCTTAAAGTGAGATTATAGGTATTCCCCTCTCGTTTCTTTCTTCCTCCCTGCTGTAAGGCAAACTTTCATTTAGTCAGGGAATAGCACCCTCCTGAACCCCAGCAAAGGAGAAGGACAGATGGAAGTTTGCTACATGGCTGTACCAGCCTGACACTCCTCCCACGAGGGCTATCAGTCTGTGCACAGACCTTCCCAGTGTGAGCAGAAGAGCCCCTGAGTCACCCAGAGCTGATGATAAAAAAGAGGAGGAAAGAGAAAAAAGAGAGAGACATGATGCAGAGTAGGTCAAGAGATTACATGTCATCAATGTCAGCTCCTGGTGATTTACTGTCATTAGACAAACACAGCCTTGTGCCCTTACCTCTTTGGCTTAACATATCTTTTACCACCAAATGAGCTCCTTAGCAAACAGAAAATAGCACAGGGAAGAAGGTCAAAATTCCTGTGGGCATTTTGCTTATAACCCTTTTGAGAGAAAGGGACAGTTGATCAGGCAGGTTTAGATTTACAACTGAAATATTCTTGACATTTAATTTAATATTGGGTCAGATTCTCACACTCTCATTTAGATCAAGTACTTGCTGCAGCGCACTTCCCTAAACTCAAGGTGAATTAAAACACCTGAATCAGACCAATTGTGATCATTACAACTACTATCACATTGATGATAGATTATTAATATAAGTTTAAACAAATAATTTGAACAAAGTAGAAGGAAAGAATTAAGGAAGATAGTTTCATAGAATCATAGAATCACAAAATGGTTAGGGTTGGAAAGGACCTTATGATCTTCTAGTTCCAATCCCCCTGCGTTTGGCAGGGACACCTCACACTAGGCCTTGTTGCCCAAAGCACTCTCCAACCTGGCCTTCAACACTGATAGGGATGGAGCATTTACCACTTCTTTGGGCAACCTGTTCCAGTGCCTCATCACCCTCACAGTAAAGAACTTCTTCCCTATATCTAATCTGAACTTTCCCTGGTTTAATTTGAACCCATTACCCTTTGTCCTATCACTACAGTCCCTGACGAAGAGTCCCTCTCTGGCATCCAGTCCCTCTCTGGCAGTTTAAAAATGGGGCTTCACAGATGTAATGATCTTACGACAATATTTGTTTATTCTCTGTTGTAATATACCAACTTCTACTTTGTTGTATTACTGTGTTTTTATCTATCTCTTTTGGCCGCAAAAATCTTAGAATGGAGACTTGTTACATAATTAGAATTGTTTTGCCATATTATGTCCCACAAAGACAATGAAGAGAGAGAGAACAAAGAAAAAGTTGTAACAATAGCAACATCGGTTTTCATGGATTTAGGCCTTCTCTCTTCTTGTTTGGGTTGTTGGTTTTCTTTTTTTTTTAGATTTATTTTATGTTACCTGTAGTTTACTTTTTACTTTATTTCATGCTAGCACTGTTGTTTACTTGGTCAGCAGTGCTTTTCAGCTGTTTTGTGCCTGGCAAGTTTCCCCATGAGACTGTGCCTGTCACCTCTGCTATATAGCTAGTCATGGCAGGCCCCGTAGCTGGGATTCAGTTTCCTGACAGCCCTCTGATTTCCCAGCTATTAACACTATAACTATGCGATTTGAAGAGCCAAAGACCTTGTTTAAAAAAATAATAATAAATAAAGAGAGAGAATAAAGAATAAAAGAGACATGAGAAAGGCAGAAAAAAATAAAGCAAGAAACAAATGGTGAAAAAAGGCAGGAGAGAGGAGGGGCAGGGAGGAAGAGAGGGAGAAAGGAGGGAGGTAGACAAGGAGGTGAGAAAGAAAAGGATGGAGAGAGGGTGGCAGGCAGAGAAACAGGCAGGATGGAGGGAGGTAGAAACGAAGGAGGGAAGGAAGTCAGGAAGGCAGGAAGGAAGGAAGGAAGGAAGGAAAGGAGGAAGGGAAGTAAACAAGTTATATAAATTGGATTATAGATTTTTATGGAACAAGAAGTTTCCTTTATGAAGCAAGCAGTTTCCTTTAACTTATTTATAAATGTTGTATCCATATTCAAATCCTAAAAAAAGTATAAAATGTTTTAAATACTTTTAATCCTTTAATTCCTTGCCATTAAGACTTGAAAATCTTTGAGCTGTAGGAGTTTTAAATCCTTTATTTAAGCTAGCTCTAACATCAATAGTTCTTTGGTCCATACATGGTAACCTCTTATTTTCAAAATATTTATTTGATTCCCTAACCCCAGTATCATCAAGGTTTTAATTTTGTCTGATCTTTTAACTTCTCCATTTTCTAAATTGTATCAAATATAATTTTAATCAATATAATCCAGTGTTTTGAATTTGGAATACTTATTTATAGATTTATAATTTAAACTTCTTAAATAGATCATGAAAAGTATTATGCATTAATCCTCCTTAACATATTCTAATTTTAGGTGAATCTGGCTCTGATGCATATCACAGCAGATGCAGGACAGCTTTATATTATATGATCTGGCAGTAGCCCTAACAAGGTACATTGCAGGTTCACAAGTGTATAGATAAACCCTCACTATTTTTCTTTTTCTTTCTTCTCAAATTCCAAACGACTTTGAAGCAGAAGAATTCTTCAGGATGTTAGTTAAGATGATGATATAGCTATTTTTTATGTCGGAATTCTAAAAGTAACCAGATCAAGTCAAACAAACACATGCTTATGTTTACATAGAATTCAAAAACATTCTGAGTACAGACTGCATTTATGGAACTTCATTTAATCGTACCCTACATGATTCTTCTACACCAGATATTGTACATCAGTGCCAGAAAATGCTGCCACAGGAAAGAAAGAGCTCAGCAAAGATAAATTTTGCAAGTAAATCCATGCCAGCCAGCCATCTAAGACTTGTTTATACTTGATAGGAATTAGTTATTTTGAATATGTTGTAAATATATAATGAAAGAGATATAACACTTATGTCACCTCTAAGGGTGAAACATATGCTTTATTTTTTCAGCTTGAGGTTTCTGGTTTAGAAATTACAGAGATACATTAGAGTCCCAGTATCACATTCAATGCATGAAAGCACCAAAAGGTGACATCCAAATGAGTTTTGTACCCGTTTTCTATGTGTGCCCTAAATGAACAATAATAATGAATGAAACTTGGTACTAACTTTCAGTTGTGAATGTGTTCCTTCTCATACAGATGTTTTAAGTTCACAAAATTCCTGAGTCAGAAGTATTACCCTTTAGATCCTCTGCATGTTTTTTTGACAATTATTATTACTACTCTCCATAAGAAAAGCTATAAGTAACTCACAGCAAAATTAACAACTTCAATGGTTTAAATAAATAAACAGTTAAGACATAATTACCTCACAGGGCTATTTGAGGCATCTGGATCATGGGCCGCTACAGTTCCAATGATAGTGCCCACCTTTGCTGCTTCAGACACAACCATGGAGTACAAACGTGATGTAAACACAGGTGGCTCATCAACATCTTCTACAATTATCTTCACTGTCGTCATATCACTGAAGGGTCCCAGACTCAGGAAGCGAGGGTCGACATGCATATTTGCTGCTTCTATCCTCAGCGTATAGCTTGTCTTAGCTTCAAAATCCAGCTCCTATACAGGTGAAGTTATTAGGAAATTTTATTATCCTGTGATGTTGTCACAAAACTTTCACTTAAATAAGTACAAAATGAGCTTTGTCATTTGTATCCAACCTCCAATTTTGATTGGCAGAGCATAGCTCATGGCTCATTTTTTTAGCTTTGTCAAAACACTATTTGCAGTGTCTTTCTTTCTAGCAAATACTACCCAATGACTTTAATGGTAAAAGTATTTCCACCATGTGAATGAAACAATAATTCTCTGAGTTAATGGCAAAACTTGCTATGGCTTCTATGAGGACCAAATTCTCCCCCATTATTTCACAACTGTGAATCAGTACTTCTTTTTGTCTTATTCACATTTTATCTAAAGTAATGTCAAATACCTTATACTATACTACCCAAGCATAAGAACTCTATAGAAATCACTAGTGAAAACACCTCATTTAGAAATTTGTGGGTGGGTTGTTTGTTTTGTTGGGGGTTTTTTGCATAGCATTGGGATTGACTAATCTTATTACTCTAATCTCTGTATGAATTTGTGAAGAAAATATGGCAGTCAATTAAACTTCATTGTTTGTATGACAATATTTTGTACTGAGATGCAGCCTTGAGATTGTTTTGGTTTATTCTGCTTATTAAATAAAGTTCACTTTTTTTTTTCCCACCTTCATTCTGCTTTAGTTTTCTTTGATGAAAGTACAGGTTTTCTTTAAATAATACTGCATTGGAATTAAAAATTACCCCCACAACTAATGCTATATTTGTTGTCTGGAGGAGAGTCCCATAAAGGAAATTATTTTGGAGGCAAAAAAAAGTATCTTACTTCATAGGCAATTATCAAAAGAAAGCATCACATTAACGTTAGCACCATTTACCTTATATCTGTAGTCTTAGTTTGTCAGCTCACACCAAATGCACAGCATTCCAAGTGTAATGATTAAAAACACAACAAAACACCAAGCATTTCTAAAAACTGTAGTCTGGTTATTCAACTATTTTTTTTAAAACTAGAATTCCAAATGTATAAAATGGATTAAAAAAAGTTTTCCACAGTTCTGATTCTGAATGCATCATAGGGGTCTGAAATATGCTTGGAAAATAATCTGACAGCATCTGTAAAATGTCCCTGTATTCACTCAGAGGAACAGTAGAGGTGAAACACACATCTGTTGACCTACAAATGCAAGGTTCTAAGTTCTCCATAGAGTTTCAGTAGCATAAATGTCAAATGAAAAACATAAAGTCAGTGATTATGCTGGTGTTACAATACTGCTGTAAACAGTCTAGATTTAAAAATGGAAAATGAATTCCAACACATCACACTCAGAAAGGCACTGAATATTTTTATAGCCTCTGTGTGGCAACAACAGGTTTCTCCAAATGGGAATACATGTGATTCTCATGTTACGCAAACTCTTACTTGCATTGTACCAGAGCTGCAGTATCTATAGTTCTCCAAACAGAGATACACCATAAAAGAAAGGTTTTCTGGATACTGGTCACTATACTGGATACAACTAGTCAGTATTTATTACTAAAGCATAGTTGCTGGGATTTTTTTTAATTTAATCTTGGTTTTAAACTTAAAATACAATATTTGTGCTATGAAACTAACCTCAAAGCCTGAATGCAAATGTAATGTGGTGATAGGATGATGAAAAATGTCTCAGAAACAATATTGTATGGTGATAACAATTAAGGAACTGATAGGACCAGATGAGCAGCAACGTTAAGGAGAAGACAACCAAGCACACATATCTTAAGATTTTACATTTTCTAACAAAAGCATCATATTAACTAAAGAAATTATAACCTGAAGAATGTCAAAGGCTGAGATTTGTTGATCTAAAAAAAAAACCAAAAAAAACCACCACAACCAAAACCCAAGTGAATTATATTTTCGATCAGAATGTACAAAGATATGTAGTGGAGAAGGGGAGGTTAATTCGTTCTCATTAATCTGTGACATCTGTTGAAATTGGATGAGTGAGATTACAGCAGTGCTTAATCAAATACGTTAAAATATCAGTCCAGAGAAGAAAAGGCTCTGGGGAGACCTTATAACAGTTTTCCAATACCTAAAGAGGGCCTACAAGTAACCTGGAGAGGCACTTCTTACAAAGGCGTGTAAGGCCCTTGTAAGAACAAGAGGGGATAGCTGTAAATTGAAACAGATTTAAAGATTAGATTAAACATTAGGAAGAACATTAGTTAGGAAGAAATTATCTACTATGAGGGTGGTGAGACACTGGAACATGTTGCTCAGAAAAGCTGTGGATGTCCCATCTCTGGCTGTGTTCAAGGTCAGGTTGGGTGGGCTTTTTGAAAGGTGTCCCTGCCCATGGCAGGGGGGTTGGAAGCAGATGATCTTTAGGTCCCTTCTGACTTAAACCATTCTATGATTCTATGAAATATATTATGAGACTGAAGACAAGATAGCTTCTTATGATATGTTAACGGCAGCCTCCTACTCATCCTAAGAAAAAATATTGTGACAATTCTGACTTAATAAAGAAAGTACGTAGAACACAGTATATGTAATTGGACAAATTACATAAATTTTAATTTGAATAGACTAAAGACTATAATGAAGAAATATTATTTAAATTATTTTTTAAAAGATCATCATGTTTCTATATTGATTAAAGAAGAGTAAATTAGGACTTTAATACTTGAAATCATAAAAACATGTTTTCCATGTGAATGTTTATGACAAGGGTTGACCGCACTTCCGAATCGTTGTATTTCATTCTTGTAATGGAGAAATAGTTCATTCTTTATTTTACTGAATTACAGGAGTCTTAGACTAGCAGACAATACTAAAGCCCACTTTCATTAGAAAGGTATTTCTTCATTGAGAAAAATGAAAAAGTAAAGATATAGATGTATATTCTGAACAGGCTTGCTTACTAGGAGTCGATTTCACCTCCTCTAAATTAGCCATGTACATTTGAGAAAATCACCATATGGTGCTTACTATGAGTATAGCAAAATTCTTCTATGGAAGAAATCAGCTGGTCTGTTTTTGGATGCCTATTTTTCACCAGTCACTGGTAAGGAAGTCTCAATGAGTGGAAGTAAATAACTGCTTTCAGTGACATGAATCTTGTCCTAAGATTACTTCAGATACCTTCTGGTATTCAGTGCTGTTGATAGTTTCCAAAAGATATAAGGGTCTTTTAAAATGAAAAATAAATAAATAAAAAATCTATTGTACCTACATATACAGTGGGAAAGAGCTGGTGTTTAGACAAGGGAAGTATGGATTGTCAAAGGGTTTTTAAAACATCAAACGGTATTGTGTTATACAGGGGCAATAATATTGTTTTATTTTAGTTCTTTGTAACAGAGTTTATCTATCTCCTGCGAGGTGTGACAATCTCTACAAAAGCTGCAGTCATCATCTTCAGTCTGGTCCTATAAGATATACATCCTCAGATCCTGCAGTGAATACACAAGTACCAGGTTCTGAGACAAATTAAATGAAACCTCTAAAATATAACTAGTATGCAAGACTTCTTGACCTGGTGGAAATGTGTCAACAATTCATAGATAATATAATGAAGACATTGCATACTACAGACATCAAAGAAAGACTGAAAAGTGAACTGAAAAGATTTCTTTTTATTATTATCTAATTATCACTAATGTCTGTTATATAGTGTTATTTAATTGGCCTTTGGATCATACCTTCATTATTTCCTGATATAACAAAAGCACGAGATTCCAAAAATGGAATACCAAGTCAACAGACTACTACAAATCACTGTATCAGTGTTGAAGGTTAAATGGACAATGTATACTCCAGTCCTTCGGTAAAGTGAATAGAGCTTGGCAGCTTCATTAATATCTGTGCATTAGTGTTATCTGATTAGATCCTCTGCATGATCCATTCATCTCTTTCATATGGAGGTTTGTGAGGTCTGTCTTCCTTTTTATTTTTTTTTTTTTTCGTTTAAGGGGTAAGAGTTTTATCCTGTCTGAAGGAAATTACAAAACAAGTCATCTATATTAAAGGGGCTGAATAGGAAGTTGTCATTCACAGAAAGCCCATTTTTTGTAATGTTCATTTTTTATTGTATGGTAACTTTGTAATAATGCACTTTGCAGAGGTGAAAATCCCATTTTTAAGTCCAGCTGAGGTTTTATATTGAAAACTGCAGTACATCAAACAAATGCACATTATCTCTCAAAGGAACCATGGAAGCCTCAAGTTCTTACATTGCAAACTCTGGCAAAGAATTTAAAGAAAAATTTCTAACTGCAAAAAAGTGAAATGTTAACTGTAATAAAAGGATACCTTTTCACTCAAAACCTTTTGCATAAGCCCCCCATTTTTATAATTGTTAGTATTACTAACCCAGGTTTTAGAACAATCTCTTAGCATTCAGTTTCTATGACAAAGTACTTTGCAACACTATTTTCACATTTTGTCCTCTAACATTCAAAGGTTGGTGATACTGGTGGTAGGTCTGTGCATTGCAGGGGGAGAAATGAAGCCAAAGTGAGCAAGGACTGTACCTGTGAAAATCTTATTGCTTGTCACTTGGTCCAGAAAGACACGACAACCCTCTCTCTATAGTCTTCAGGCTTCTTTTCTTTGCACTTAAGTCCACTGCAATCTCCATAGACTTCCAAACGGTTTGAATCAGACCTCCAAAAAGTCACATATGATACATCTAATAAAAATAGATTTTGCAGCCTTTCTTATTGTGAAATTAGCATTCCTACTTTAAACACCAAGAATATGATAAAGGTGTAGGTGGCTACAGATCATCTCTAAGGTTTTTATCTTAAGATGCTTTGCTACTTAACTATTATTATTACTGAAGTCTAACTAAGGCTTGCAATTTGTGGATAAAGTCAGGTCTGTACTTACATGAGGCCTTTTTCTGTACATTATTTTTAGGAACTGTGCTATGAATTACAAACAATATGGTCTTGTGTGTGCATTTTGCTTAGAGAGTGAAGCCAAGATTTCATTCATGTATATTACGATCAGGTTTCTGTGATCAGTCAACATGAATTCACTTTGAAATTGTGCACAGATAGGTTTGCATGGACACTTCAGAATTTGTTGTATTAAATGACTGAATCAGCATTCATTTTCACAAACATTTCTTCAATTCAAAGGTTTCTACCACAGAGACAAATCCAACTCAGTTTTAAAAACTTCAATATATTCAGGAAAATTACACTTTTCTTCCAAAAACTCTCACCACTGTGAAGTGTAGCTATGCAAATTATGTGACTCCTTACTAACAGAGCATTGATAGCAGAATGTACATTACAAATGAAACCACAGGAAGGAATTGATCCTACTCTACAGATGGAGAACTGAGTCACAGTGTGAACCAGGATAAAATTTTCAAGTGTTTCTAAGAAATATAAATACCCAATTCCTTGTCAAAAGCTGTACAAAACACTTTATTTCTGAAAAGATCACCTAAGATGGTTGTTTTCCTAAATCCTGCTTAAAAGTAACTTACACATCTAATTTAGCTTTACTTAGGAATTCACTACAGCGAGTGTGCCTACAGGGTGCAGAATAGCCAAACTCTAACATTATTTGCAATACCAGAACTTTAGCACAAGGTTTGAGTAGGTGGTATATTTAGACTGCTCTGTACAGGATAAAAATAAAGGGAGAGCTCTTTTTCTGTTTCACTTGGCAAGCAAGAACTTCTCACTTATTTAGTGGTAGTATTATTTTTACTATTAAATAAGACAGAAAGTTGGAAAAGAAAAACAAATGGGAAAGCTTTCACAGTAACTTAAACTACTAGGCAACAAATTGTGTCAACATAGCAGGTTACAGGAAAAGACCCCCACTAGTTTTCCCACCACTGACCCACCCATCCTGTAAGCTGAGAATACTGCTCTGAATTGTGCTTATGGATCCCATTCACTTGTTTATACCAGCTGCTGGAAAAGTTTGTCTTCTAGCATTTTTCATACCTTTTGCAGGTTGGAAACAGAGTATGGCATCCTAAAAACAGCTTTGGCACTTTTGTACACCATCCTAGATCTATGTTGGACAAATTTTTGCATCTGAATTCAGCTAATGCATTGCTGAAGATGGTAGACTTTATTTTTTAGTTCCAATAACCAAGTAAATGGTTAAATACTGGGTTTCACTATCTCCTTCATAAGATGAAATTCTAGCTTCACTGATCTCACAAAAAAATCAATTCTACCCAGATTTAACCTCCTGTTATTATTTAAGCCATAAATTCATGGAAAAAAGTTAGTTCTTGTCCCAAAGAAAACCTTGAAAAAGTTGGGGGTTTTTTTGTACTTAAGCAAATTCCTAGAATACATGAACTTCACATCTAAGTAATTTAATTTTGATTCAAACATCTTAACCAGCACAAAAGCAAATAAGTTATCATGAGTGTGACAAAAAACACATAGCAGCAAATACTGTATAATGGTGTATACATGATCCTTAGTTGTGCTGCATAACATAGTACAATCCTACTGTTTTCCCTTTGGAGGGATAAAGACCAAGTGGATGAAAACACTGAGAAAGTACTACTTATCTGATACTGTATGGTCAAGAGAGTTATGATGAGTACCAGCCTATTGTCAAAATGTTACCTTGAACTAAGGCTTAATTTAATAGCTAGCATATAGTACTAGGCATGGCATATAATTGGGTACATTGGGTACAAGCAGCAACAGTACTAGCATATTCAGGAACACATAATCCCCAGTCCTGCCAGGGCTATAAAAGGATGAGAACTACTACTAGTATTTGAAAAATAGCACTGTTCTCAAAATGCTTAGTGAAAAATCCATTCTGAATAAATCATACAAGCCAAAGAGACATCTGGATTTAGCAATGCGGAAGAGATACACATAAGGGAAGAATATGCTCCTTATTTTGATGAATATCACAGTTAGAGTAAATCCGTTATTTTTTCTGCTGACTTTTGACGTTTTGAAATCTCTGTGTCATTGGGTGCAGAGAAGAAACATGTTCAAATGCACATAGAAAAAACCCAAACCAAACAAAAAATTTAACACACCCATACCTCATTCACTGATTTCTCACCTTTCAAAGCAATATATGCATTAGTCAAGTCCATTATACATAAGTAATCTTGGGAAATGGCTAAACATGCAATAATTTTCTAGTATCAAGATTCTTGGTATCTATTATTTCAAAAGTTTGTTTTCCTGAATTTATATAGATAAATAATTTATTTGCAATTTTTGCTGACCCCTGGGCATTTTCTTTTGTATTGCCTGCACTTGGAGCATGCAAAAGTCCTGCTTTGCTCATTGAATTCTTAAATCTCACTTCTTTAAAACTTTTAGAAAATTTTTCTTTTTTTACCTGATGTTCCTTACATGCTAAAAAAAAAAAAAAGTCTTACTTTCTAGTGAGGAAGTAAACTTTTCAAGTTATCTCAAAATGGTTATGTTTCTAAAAACAGAATTTAAAATCCTCAGTTTCTGTGTGGAACTCCAATAACCAAGTGACACACTTTCTGCACAACATCCAGCACAAAAACAAATGGAGCAGTGCCTTCATCTTCTCAGCGTGCTACTGCCTTTTGCTACTGTATGACTGCAGAAAAAGTGTGCAAAGATAAAGCATGCATCTGCATTTAGAACCAAAGTGTGCCTTTTCAGAGGTTTTTGCCTTGGAATTTTACTGCTAATGTGTACACAGACATGTCACCTGAACATATAAATGCACAGGAGTTTAAAAGTTTGGGCATGCATTTCAAGTTTGAGCTGTATCTCAATGCTTCAGCTGATTTCAGGGGCATGAAAAGGAGGGTGTTAACTGCAGTCAGAGGTGTACAGAACATAATGTGCTGGACTGTAAAAGGTTTAGGAAGATTCCAGGTTACAGATCTAATTTCTTTCCTGATTCTTTACTAATAAGAACAAATTGTCATGTAGGGATAACCATTGCCCAACTCTAGTGATCAGGCAGGTAAGGCTCGGTGATTGAAGCCCATTTAACCTGCATACACTGTCATTGATGGTCTTCTATATACTTGTTCTCCAAGTTTTTGCCTTGAAAAAAGATTATTCACATTACATGTATTAGTGACTGATCTTTCAAGGGGGATGAACATCCTCCATTTGTTGTAACATCTATACATGCTTATCCACTCTCAGCAGGTGTTCAGGACATCAGAAAATTAGAAAATTGCAGCAACAGGCCCTGTTAAAATCGATGCAACAGAGGAGGAAAACCCAACCCAAACCAAAACAAAAAATCCCACAACCAGAAATGGAAGTTTACGAAGATTAAAGAGTATATAGATAAGAAAAATTTGCTGTGGAATCATATTAACTACAAACCTAGGTCCTTGTTCAGGAACATATTTACACATTTTCTAGAATGCTAAGTCAGTCCCACATTGTAGGGGTTATTAAATTGTTCAGGAGAGGTAACACCATAGATTTAGTATTGACATTGACAAGTATTCACACTTTGAGAGTGCGAAATGAGAGATTTTCTGATCAAGGTGTTGTTTTGTTGTTTTTTTTCCCCTGTTCACTTCAAAATTTTAAATTTTTTGCAAAACATTTCAGCACATTTATATTTTCTAAAAGGGTATTCTCAAATATGTTGCAACACGCTAAGAATGCTGATATTTAATATTTTTAATAGAAACATGATTTTTAATTTTAAAAAGTTGTTTTTCTAACTGTACATATAGAAAGCTAAGAAGAAAAAATATTTCTTTAAATATTTCAATGTTTTTTAAATATTTTTATAATATATTATTTTGTAAACAATTATTCCTCTTGATACATAATTTTAACGTTAGTAATATATATCTTCTGAATAGAACAGTATCAAACAAAGAAAGATAATTGAATAATTATTTTTTCATTTTAATTATGTTGGGATCTATTTTGCATTTGGAGCTTGCATTTTTACTGTAAGACATATTTTCACATCTCTCTATTACCAGGACAAATGAGATGAAAGCTTAGCTTCCTAACTTGTTTGTGCAGGAGCTTTAAAAAAACCCAAAACAATACAGCTATTGACAAAAAGACAAACTATGATTCTCACTGTAAGTCATTAAAAAGCTCAGAATCACAAACACACAGAAATGCAGATGAAATATGCCAATGGAAACTTTTACAGAAGATAAGGGTTTTAGAAACAAAAGCTTGTACTCTTATTACCTGCCCTTCCTTTACACAAATAGAAATCGAATCAGTGAGAAAAATCAGACTTACCTTCTGAATTGTTATGATTCCCTCCTGGGTGTCTTTGTCAACAGAAATTTTAAATACTCCCAAACCATCACCATCCACAATCTTGTACTCCATTTCAGCATTAGGTCCCACATCTGCATCTGCAGCTTTTATTCTGGCCACCACAGAAGCCACTGGCAAAGACTCTGGGACATTATACTGGTATGATCCTGTGAAATTAAAAAAAATAAAAATTAATGAATTTAGAGCCTTCTGGAACTGTAGGCTAAAAACCAAACCAAAACAAAGCAAAAAAAAAAAAAAAAACCAACCCAAAACAACAAAGAAAACAATAAAAAACCAAACCAAACCAAAACACTACCTTCTTAACATTCACCTTCTTTTATGATACTTGGATATTTACTTGGCCTACCAGAATATAATCTTCAGTTTAAAATAGATTTACCTTTTTTTTTTCTAGGTTTTCATTATCATGGACTTTAATTACTATGGCCATAATTTCTTCCTATGATGAGAGAAGTACAGGGCAAAGATGCAGAAATATAATTCAAAATTTAAGTGCAAATCACAAGGTGAATGCCTGCTACAGAGTTCCAATGCAGAAAATGTTTTACTTTGTTTTCCATTAAAGAGAAAACAAAGCAAGTAAGTCAAATAACAGCGGTATAAACTTATTATTTCATAGCTGTGTATCTTGATTAGGCAGTTTGTAATCTGAATATGATTAGACATAGTTATATATTAATTTCTTTAACAGTAAGTACATCATCTGCATTCTTGAAAATTACAGCTGTTTCATTCAATTAGAAAATTATATATATGCTATCAAAAGCATATCTGAGTGCAATCTGCAGCCAATAACACCCTCACCTTCAAAAATAACTTCAGTTATTCTATTATTATTTCAAATCAGTTTGTGGCTTGAAATAGCAGGAAATCTATTGCATACAGATCTGCTTTTTATATCATTGGAGGTGAGGCTGGAGAGGACATGTGTGGGAGACAATGGAAACTATTTGATTATTGACAAAGAGAAGTAACTGCTTGGCTGGAGAAGAAAGAGTTAAAGAAGAAACAAAATACAATCAAGCAGAGCAGCCAGCCAGCTGAGGAGGAGAGAGCATAAGATACCAAGACACCTGGCTGAGGAGGAGAAAACGTAAAGATAAGAGACTGGTTATTCTGGGACTGATTGTGAGACAGTGAGCAGTGTTAAAAAACAAACTATAAGTCAGGAACTAAACATGATAGGCTACAAACAGAATGGTATAAAAGCTAGAGCAATAGGCTAAAAATAACTGTTGTTAGAATGGTATGAAAGTTAGAGCAGTAGGCAATAAGGCGATTCACTGCATGAAGATGCTCTGAGTCCGTGCTGTTAATCTCCACAGACATGAATATATTATTCACATTTTGATTCTACTTAGCAAGGACTTTTTTTCTTTAAGAAGAAAGCACCCCAGACAGAATGGTCTTAATAAACTGAGCTCTTCAGGTTTGGGCATACAACTATGCTTTTTAATTTGGCTAGGATGAGAATTACCCTGGTCATAGAAAGTAAAAGCAAGGAAGATAACTTTCTGGCTCTTCTGCGATTAACATCTTTGGAAACACCCTATGCACAAAGTAAATCCTGGTAAAATGCCAAAGGAATATGAAGAATTAAGAGTCAAGTTAAGAACTATGCATTCTGAAGTCTAAATGGCAAGAGCTGAATATCTATTAAGGTGTATCTTTTTTTGTCTTTATTTATAGAAAGGAAGTAAAATACATTAATTAATGTACCTGCTGTACATCATTTCATTTTAACTGATCTGAAATGTAGTAGATAAAGAAAAAAGATTCTTCTTATGTAGTAATAGTAATGATAATTATAATAATAACCACAATAATAATAATATACCTTGCTGCCAGTGATTCACAAAGTGCTTAACATGGAAGCTAAGCACTCTTTTTTAGAACTAGCATGACATAAAGAAAATAACAATGTTTAGAAATAATATTACAAGTCATATTTTTATGAAGTAACCTACGCCGTGGAAAGCGAGGTGGGTTGTCATTAACATCAGTCAGGGTGACAGTTACAGATGTAGTCCCTGATAATCCACCATTTTGTCCAACCATGTCCTTTGCTTGAATAACTAGTAGGTATTGGTCCTTGGCTTCTCTATCCATATTTGGAAGGGCAGTCTTGATAACACCTGCAGTAAGACAAGATATGTCAGCAGTTGTGCAAGCAAATACATTACTGTGAAAGCTGGGTTTGCCTTTAAAAGGTAGCTGCAGAGCAATGATTACAACAGGAGAAGAATGAATTAATTTCAACACTAATATTCCAGTTTTTGACTGGGAGCTGGACTTATTTTTAGTCACCAAAACCCACCAATTTTTATCTAGTACAGCTTTCTTTTGGTAATGTCATATATGACTTTGTATTCTGAACATATCCCTGAACTATAGAATTTGTAATAATTTTGGTAACACTCCCTTCCCTGAAAGATGTCGTCTTCTTTGTTTGATTTCCCACTCTTTCAAAGCTAGGAAAATCAGAATATTCTATATTCATTTTTAAGATACAAGGTCAAGATTTATTTCACAATGTCTTGAATAATCATTCACCACAGTAACTCTTACTAATTTTGATATCATACCACACTCCAAATATTTATGAAATTTTCTCATTTTACTTGGAACATATATTTTCTTTAACAATACCCACTGCTAAAGCATTAGTGTAATTAAGATATTTTTATTATTTATAATAAAATACTGTAATATCTGAAACAGTTTTTGTTTTATCCATTTGATGATCTGTAAACAATTTGTAATTAATTGATCTGAAATGAAAACAAGTAGAAAGCTCCATGTTATATTCTTTCAGTTAGGTTGATATATATCAGAAAATAAATGTGCTTTCGCAAGTGTGATCACTTTATGAATATTTCATGCTTAGTACATAGTACAGCTGCTAACTTTGATTTCCAGGGAGGTAACCATTTACTCCACCAGCACTTAGTGTCAGCAGCAAAGGAAATATAAGCAAACTAAATAAAAGAGGGGTGTATTGGGACACATATCTCTTCATCTGATAGTTGTTGAATGTTTAGTTAGAGTTTTATTTCTTCCCTTATGAATGCAGGTCTTGCCATTAGTCATCTCTGGGTTGAAACATTTATTTCATAAACAGGCTGTTTGGCACTATTTCACCCATTTTACAAGCTATGTTAAAATACAATTAATATACAATTTCATAACATTATTGTTTTTACACTAATTTTTCTGGCCTGCTGGTTTTTCTATCATAGTGAAATCACCAGGCAATGTTAACCAATGATTTGGAAGCTAATTATCATGCACAAAGGGAATCTGAGTATCAAATCAAAGTGAAAATGTATGCAAACATTTCAGTCTCAATCATTAAAGATTTTAACTTAGAAGAAACTATCATATTGTTGTGGACCTGTTGTAGTATGAAGATAATTATATTATTCCTGCAAGTTCAGATGTTAAATAGTGTTGCCTTTTGGTCATAACATTGGGATTCAGGTCTGATTCACATCACAGGTTATGACAGATAGGGTAAATAGTTTGTTTCTTTTTTGTGTCAGTATGTTTTTCTCTGAAATAAAAGGTATAAATCTTCTCCATGTTGGCGCAAGTGAACACTCAGGCACAAAACTCCACTGAGCAGAGTGAGAACCTACTTTTCCATTCTGTGAAATGATACAGCAGAATAGCTAAGGGTTATTAAACTGGCAGAAGAGTAAAGTTGCATTTTGTCGTGGCTTAAAATATTCCTAAAATTTCACAAAAATAGGAGAAAAACTCCCACCAGTAATTTGTTTTGAAAGTGACATCGAAATATTATATCAGATAAGGATAGAAAGTGCCACGCTTTCTTTTTCAAACTAATAAAGAAAAGATACATTTCCCACAACAAAGCTTCAGTTTAAAAAGTAGAAAGGACAGATAAATCTATACTTAAGGAAATCTGGGTATGTGATACTTAGGTATTTCTAAACCAAACATCTGCAAAAAAACTTGTTCACAGCATCTTAAAATTTTCATTGATCAGAAAGACAGCAACATGTGGCAGATCAGGAAGCTAGTAGATTGATAAGATGATAAAAGTTCCCATTCCGGTAATGTCTGCTCATCACATAGCTCAGATGTGTCATTTTCATAACCTATTCTGGAAAATAACAGGTTAAAACAGCAACAAATTATAAATGTATTCAATTATCCATGAGACCACATTAGTAAGTTCCTAGTAAGTTTTAATGCACTTCCTCCCCCACTCCCCAGCATTACTGCAGAGAGCTTATGGAAATGTACCTGTTTTCGGCTCCACAGAAAAGTAAGGTTGTCCTTGCAATATGCTGTAAACCACTCGAGCACTGTTGCCATAAGTAGGATCATCTGCGTCAGTGGCTGTCACTTGAACCACAGAGGTACCTGCAAAATGTTTAAGGGACTATTGTACATAAAAGATCCAAAAATATGAACTATACTTCTTCAACATGCTCTGCCAATATATACCTGAAACAGTATGAGGTGGCATTTTCACAATTATTCATCATTTCCATACTGATTCAGCTTAAAATATAAGGTCCTCTTTGTAAACCAGTAGTACCAACTGTTACAGCATTCTGTCAGTCTCAGCCTCTTACTCACAGCAATAAGCATCTCACTCAGTAGCTCCCCCTCTCTATCTCCACCTTTGGTTGGTCGAGGGTATATGAACAGTATTTCTTAAATGATGGCGATGCCTGAAGTATGCTTAAGTATGAAATAAAGTAATGATTTCCCTTTGAAAAGAAGTTGGCATGCTAAAATTGTAATGAGTAGTTAAGAGATTCAAATATGCATACATATATGTTCATATATTTTGAAAATTGTACACACATATATATAAAATTAATTGTAACCTATAAAATTATTTACCCTTTTTTGAAAAGACGGCTCAAGAATTTTTGTGTGAGGTCAGAGAAAAACTAGTGAAAGCTGTCTCCAAATTCCATTTAAGAGTACTTATTTCCTTCAGTAATCTGCAACACTTTGGTATCAATTTTGATAATAATCTGCTGCATAAACATTTCTTGAGCAAGAAATGTCTCTATGTTGACAGGAGTAAGAAAGTGAAATGTCTAACTGGCTAGCAAGAAGGATATATTTTGTGAGAATCTCATTCTGTATCTAGCTCCTATTCATTATATTTTCAACATCAGTTCCTATTTGTTTTGTTATTACAGCAGCTTTATGATGCATGCTGAGCATGATAAAACAACACTTGGGAGCCAGGGCCTTGGCCATGGTCATCACCTTTTGGCAGCCAGAAAGTGCTATTTTTTCTCACAGGCAGATTGTCTGGAACACTGAGACCTTCCATTCAGCAGCCCAGGGACCCATTTGGAGGTTAGGTTGCAAATTAATATTGTAGCAATTTGGCAGATGCCCAGAAAAGGTCTTCAGCAGAAGTTCAGATCCCTTCATAAATTGGATTTAGACACGAGATTAGGGAAAAACATTTGTTAAAGAGAGTGTTCATTTTCTGAATGAACACATTTTTTACATGAGAGAATGAGACCAGAGAGTCTAGAAATCACTCTTTAAGAACATACCGCAATAGCAGGTGTCCCGGGTGAACATGGCAGAAGTTGTATTGTGGTCAGTTTTATTTGGACTTCTTCAGGAAACGGGTGAGACAAAGTTCTGAAATTCTTCATGTCTGATCTAGTACGTCCTCTGTCCATTTTCTTCAGCTTTACAATTCTCAGTTAGGTAGAGGGTCATAAATAGGTCCTGGGACCAGGCTGAAGGTTTGGAGAGGACTGAGTACAGCCCTCCACAAAATGGTACAGATTACTAAGAATGGGATCTGCTTGAAGGAATTCTGACCAGAAATCATCATTCATAAGGTAATTTTATCCACCTACACTATGGCCTAGCTAACCCACATTCCTGATCTCTCTTCCTGAAGTATCCATGACAAAATATTATGATTGCAATTCTATTTTAATGCAATTTTTCTCTCTTGTAGACTGTCTAATATTTTTGGACAGAGAAAAGGTTATTCTCAACCTGAAATTTCACATGCAACTATTAAGTAGATGGAAAGTTTAAAAAGAAAATTGGTAGTTAATCCATCAAGTCATTTATCAGTTATGGGTCTTAAAATACATCAATTTTCTGTTCACCAGTAACTAGGAGCTTTGATTCAGTATGTCAAACTGATTTTACAGATTACTCTATAATGTAATTTCATACAGGGACCTATTTCAAACTTGACAGAGTCTCTCCAGCATTTGAGTTCAAGGGTATCATAATGATTATTTTACATCCTGTGTTCTTTGTGAAAACCAGGCTTACCACATTTACAAAGTCCCTAAGCCCTGCCAATGAAGCTTACAATGTCTGCAAATATTGGCAAAAGTGCTTATAAACCTCACACACTGTTACGTCTTTGCTCCTTGCTCTTGCTGCTGTCAAGGACTCCAGACCAATACAAGATCAAAGAAATTACAAGCTCTGCAACCTCAACAGAGTCATTTTGGAAATCCTGCAAGCTTAGAAGTGCTTGTTTGCTGTAAAAATCTATTGATGTGGCAAACAAACCCTCTACATTCTGTGAGATGAATAAAGTCAGTATCTGAATCTAATTGGCTCTCTCCTAAAGTACATAGCTCCTTTAGAAAAGGTGGTGTGGGTTATTTAGGTAGAAATTCTAACACCAAATCTTTCTACAGTCATCCCACTTGACCATAATCAGCAACTAAAAACAATGATACTTTTCTTGTCCCTTTGTGCTAATCAACTTTTTTCAAACATTATGGGAGAAAAATCTTTTAAATCATCTGCTATTGTCATTTTTTTTACCAGTTGCACAAAAAACTTTGAGCTTCCAGAAGTCCTATGCCTAGAGGGAGATTTTTGCACAATATATTTTTTAAAAAGAATATGCAAGCTAACATAAGGTATGCTAACTATGTGATAAGTCATACATATGGGAAATCAGTTCCAAGGAAATATCATACATGGAAAGATCAGTATTTGAAGATTTCCAGAGAATTTCCCAGAGAAAGCATATTTCTCTTGAAGAGCAGGAATTCCTTGAAGATTATTGCAATACAGAGATGTCCTAATTTCTCTTGCAATGGATTGATGTCAAATTCATATGCTTATTTTCCTTTTAAAAAAAACCCCACATAACCAATAAAGCTCTATAGGTACTCATGGATAGTCAAAAAATCTATAGATAGAGGAAAAATGGGTAGTTGCATTGTAGTTCCAACTAAAAAGGGAGAGCTTGTGTTCCTGCACTGAAATTAAGTCTTCCTTCTATTCCTGAACACTTTGCCCTACCTCAGAACACAGGTGGTCAGCTGTCATACATATGTCCAAGATTAGGACTTTTGGGTAACATCGGACAGTCAACAAATAGCACCACACCTTCACTCCATCCAACAAAATGAGTGTCCCAGTAAATCTTGTTTATGGGAATATTGTTCAAAGCCCTAGACTGCAGGTGTAAACAGGACACTAACCCTACTCCAGACTTTCATTAGTTACTTGTTATAACCTGTAACTTCACAACTAAGACTTTAATTATTTCTTAGTTTTTGTATCTGATATGGATTGAAAAAATAAATAGGGGCTATTTACTGAAAACATGTCTTTCCCCTCAGATATTAGCTCCTTTACAATTATTTTTCTCTACAGTTATGTCTTTATAACAAGCTTGGATATCAGTTCATTAAAAAAAACCCTCTACATATAACAACTATATAAACTTTTTCAGCAATTGCAGCAAACACTGAGGAAAATCAGTGCTGCTTGTCAAAGGATGTTCAGCATATTTCTTTACTGATACTAGCTAATAACACTGAATTTTGTATGGCTGGCATAGATTTCTGGTTGGTTTGTTTTTTTTTTTTGTTGGGGTGTGGTTGTTTTTTTTGTTTGTGGGTTTTATTTTTCCCCAGAATATTTTAGCTATCATTTTTAATCTAAACTTTAATAGATAGTAGCGGATATCACAGATTCACAGTAATCTGAGAACTTGACCATTTTAAGTTCTGATGTTAAAGCAAAAAAGAAGTGAAGAGTTTTTGCAGAGGGGACTGTGAATTAGAACAGTGTACTTTAACTTACCCAAGTCATGAGTCAGCACTGTTTCCAACAAGTTTCAGAGACCATCCTTTTCTGTGTTAGGGTCAGAAAAACTGGTTGCTATAGTTTATTTTGAAGTTAAGGTACTTTTTAAATCTCTGAGCTTATTCTTTTAGAAGCCTCTGCACAGAGCTTTTTCTAAACACCTTGCTAGTGCCTTATGTGATATTTCACAAAACTTTTAAAATTAGTTTGCATGAGAAATGCTTATGTGACTTCTGTTTTTAACATCCATGAAATGACTTAAGGGAAAACTGGTTTCTAAATCTAGATTAACTTAATAAATGCTTATTTTTGAAACTGCACAAACCCTCATCAATTGAATTGTAGCCATATCGACAAATGAAAAACAGACCTTTAAAAGCAGTCAGTTATTAAAGACATTGACTGATATCAATTAAAGATGCATAATATGCATAATACACAAGACAATTCCATGATGGCATCACATTTTTGTGTCACATCAGCTGTTACTATAAATATTAAACATCTTTGCTATCAAGTTATCCGTAATACCTGTTTAATTCTTACATGCAACAGCCCAGCCTGGCTCTGGTATTTCTGTACTTCTGCCACTGGCCCTCACACAGACCTGATGCAGCAATACCTCCACAGCCTTTTGCCTCCAGGAGTGTGAAGAGGAAGAGACAGCACCCGGAGGCAGATTCTATCCCTTTCACCACCTCCTTGTCCTCCCAGAGCCTCATTAGGTAACCTTCACTTGAGGACAAAACCCAAGACTGGTCCCAGCCCAGCAGCAAGGTCAGAAAGGTCAGATAAAGTGAAGCAGAGGAGGCTTGTATCTGGAGAGAGACACTTTCCCTGCATTCAGGCTCTCCAAATCTGCTGCCCACTTGTACCAAAGATTGAAGCATGATAAAAAGATTTTTTTTTTCCCTTCTCCCCCCCCCCCCCCCCCGCTATAAAAATAAAATATTTCTATCCATCTCCATCAGAAATAATAAATGTAGCAAGAAAGATATTTGTTGCAAAGCAGTTGATATGTCTGAAGAGTAGAGAAGCTTAAATAAAACCAAAAATATGTTAGGTACTAGAAGTTTTATCCCATTTCCTTGGCTATAAGCCAAACAGATCAGTATCTCCTATCAGCTATTTTTAGCTCAACTTTGCAGGAACACTTTCAATACTCTTTAAACTATAATTTTAAATGTTTTTGTTTGAAATATAACACTGCTAGACTTTTTAAGAAAGAGACATACTTAAAAAAGGACCCAACAAAAACCCAACATGATTTTCAGATAAGCCACATCTTTGAGGTTTTTGCTTTGAATGAATTTCCAAGACATCAAGATATTTACCTTATTCTGGATAATCAATATAATTGAGCCTGACTCTAATATAAATTGAACCTGACCTGAAGTCATTTCAAATAACAGAAAAGATTGACTTCAATTAGCCTTAGATAATGTCCTGAAATATTTGTCAAATAAAATACAAAATCATTATATTCACATAGCTACTCTTTAGGTTATAGGTTATAGTTGTCCTAGCTTTATAGTTAATTTGGATTTATAATCCTATGATCACCTTCATTTTGTTTAATATGCAAATAAAAATCCTTGTCATGGATATAATTTTAAACAAAATAGGAGAGGGGTGCTTTGTTTCTCCTTAATATTTCATGGATGCTTTAGGTGATGAATTAAAAAAATAACTTATATGCATAAATGGTCAATACATGTAACTAGACAAGTACGACACAGGCATTTCATGGTAACCCTCAGTACAGTAACAATGCAGTATTTGGTAGTTGTGTGATACTAAACATGAAGATGTTTAACATGTACAGTTTCAGGAAATTCATGAAGGTGAAACCACCCTTACTTTACAAAAATCCCAGACAGTACACAAGTCTCAGTTAATAATTTTGCACAATATTTCACCTAAGTTAAGTATATATTTGGTGGTGTATGGTCCATATGGGAGAGAATTTCTTTCAATCACTAATGTGGTAAAGATCCAACAAAATATGCAAAAGCAGTTCATTTTGAAAAATACTCCTTGTGTTCTCCACCATACACTGTGCATTCTCCAAAGATTTATTTCCAGTGTATTTTTTGAACAAATGGAGCATGGGTGAGGGGTAGAGGCATGGATTTGTGTGTGTAGGTAAACCTCATATGTCTATAGTAGTTGTCCATATGTCAATATGCCAGTACAGGGCAAAGCAGAGGTAGCTAACGTGTAAAAGGGAAATGTAGAGATATTCCTTTCAGGGCACAAGACAAAGGAGCAAAATTATAATCACTGCTGCATGCTTCAGCTCATTTAAATGATCCAATTCTGAAATAAACCAGCAATTATATATATAGTACAGAACATATTTTTGAAATACTGAATATCTAAGTTTTGCAGTCTTAGACTATCTGGTTATGTCTGTTTTTCCAAAGTGCAGCAGTAAAAAGATCTCATTGATGTATCATGACTTCATCTCCTCCCTGACAGTCCTCAAAAGCTGTGGTGTCCATTTTTCTTTCCAAAACTGTTATTGCCACTTTTGCTATCCTCTTACTGTTTGAGTAACAATGTACAAGTTTCAAATGAGAAATAGTGTCTATCGTCACTAGTTAGGAAAACAAACAAATAGAAAACTCATTAGCTATGTTTTACTTATCTCCTATTGGCTCCTAAACTGAGTTTCAAATACAAAAGCAATATTGACTAATGGTTGCTGCAGGGCGCTTAAGCAAGGTACTGTCTCTCTAGATCTAGTTTAGAGTCATTGTTTAACCTCCAAAAACACATAAAGTAGTATTGAGGAAACTAGCAAATTATATATGGGCAGTCTTACTGTAACAGTATCATAGTTTGATATGGTTTAAGATTAGTCAAGGAAACAATACTTTCAATAAGCGTATGACTCTCTTAACCTGTAGTGAGACTTCCCATAAGCCAGTTTCCACTGAAGTAGATTAAGTTCTTCTACTTTTTTTAGCTTCATGCTTACATTTATAATTTAAAGTAAAATTTACCAAAATGTCTCCAGGCCAAACTCCTATCCAGTCTGAATCAACACCTGATAACAGTTTGTTCTTTTTTAAATGGAGAGATAGTGGATTTAATGTTTAAACTCTTCTCTAATTCGAACTCAGGAAAAATTAGCATTTCTTCTTATACAACAGAGTCTGAAAGACATTCTTCTCTGAATCCACTCGTAATTTGAAACTATCTCATGCTGTACCCCAGTCCCTGCTGCTTGCATGTATTTATTTCCCAGAGAGCTGGATTTCAGTATTAGAAAAGATATATAGTAAACTGCTGCTGATATATGCAAGACTTACCAAAGAAATTATGCAGTAGCAGAAATTTGAAGAGTTTGTTAAGAATGGACTATATCTGAACAGAATTATATATTATCACCTCTGAATACCATAGCATAAGTGTGAAACTTATTACTCTTAATGAGAATTATAAAAGAAAGCCTCTGGGCACTGGAATGAGAAAAACCATAAAATGCTTATCTGAATCCCTACATAGCTATTTGAGTTTCACAACATTTTTGAAAGGGTAAATACTTAATCTAGAATGTTATTTCCAGTTAAGTCTTGAAATATCTAACTGTTGCAGGTGCCTCATAGATAATTAATTGGGTTAGTGCAATACATTAAAAAATAATGAAATTTTTAAAAAGGCAATAAGAACAAATTTTCCAGAATACCAACAGTGTATTTTGCACTTACCCACAGGAGACATCTCAGGAACTCCAGCAGTGTAAGGACCATCCAGAAATTTAGGCTCATTGTCATTGATGTCCTGAATCTTAATGACGAACTCAGATTCTGGTTCCACGGGTTTATTAGTCAACCTATCTAGTGCTTGTGCTCGGAGAGTGTAGTAGGCCTGCTCTTCTCGATCCAGCCTTTTTGTAGCATGAATATCCCCCGTGTTCTCATCAATAATGAAAATGGAACTTGCCCCTTCGCCTGACAAGATGTATTTGATGGAACCATCTCCTTTATCAACATCAGAGTGAAGCTGGTGAAAAATTGATGAGAGATAAGATTAACTTACAAGAGAGTCAGTGACATGGAGATATGTAAAAATAATTCTCAAGTCAAGCAGCAGTACATGAAATTTTATTGTTCTTGGAAAGATAAGCTGAACGTTTATCATGCACAGCATGTAAGGGACCATTAGAATATGCCAGCTTGCTGTTTTGAGCAAGATAATGTCATTCTTTTCTGCAAACAATCTCATTTTCAAATGCATCTGATACTGTCTTACAGTCCTCTCATACCAGAGTTTTAAGTAGCCACACACACACATACATGCATGCACACACATAATTATAAGTGTGATTTTATTCCTACCTGAATTTAACTACATTTTTGGTTTCAGATTATTATCCTGCTGAGGGGTGAGGCTTTAAACAAATGTCACTATAAACATAATGTCAGTGTGTGTCTGCTGCTGTGCATGTATGGGAAATGACACACTGATATCCTCAGTGTTTAGTGGGTAGAGCAGTAAAACATGTCAAATGAATTAAAATGGATTGTTTTACAGACTGCTTGCTACTATCTGATGGGCCAGTCAGTTCACTTCCATATCTTGTTTTCCATCATCTAATTTCAGAAAAATGCAGAGTCTAAGAAAGACCAAGAAGTGTCCTGGCACTGCTTGAAATACACAGCATCAAAAGTCAGGTGTAGTTTCCCTGAGTCTACTGTAGCAGGCACAGAACAAATGCACCTCTGTAGGTCAAAATGTGTCTTCTATTGGAACTGCAAGACAGATTGACAGAAATAAAATTTCTTCCTCATCACATAAGTTTTTAAAGTTACAGAGCAAGATTTCACAGGCTTTGTAGCTCTTTTGTGTCTACTTAGTCTCACCTTCCTATTACAGAACACAGACTCCAACAATTCTCATATACTTTTCAAACTTCTATCAACAAAACAATTGATGTGAATGTCATAATGTGATATCCCACGTGTAAGTAACACATGCATGTGAATATTTAATATGGTATAAGTGAAAAGAACATCAGTAAATTTCAGAGTACATGATCACTACTTAAAAAGTGGATTGCTACTTGTAAGTAGCTAAGGGCAATGTTAAAGATGTTTAGATTCTTTATGCCTTTTTTCTATTTTGTACCTATCCTAACTCAATGTCATGTTGAGTTTGGAGGTAACACCACTGTCATCATCATCATAATTTCCTCCACTAACTTTTTTTTTTCTCTCAGCTGGGAGTATCACTGGGATTGTAATCACTTCCAGAATACATGCAGAAAATTGCTATCTCAGGCATAACAGCACAGCTGCAAAAGCTTTTCTTATTTCAGCAGGGAAGTATTCATGATCAGTTTTGAATTTTTCAGCTGGGTAAAAAGATGCTTATTTCTTACACATTATTCCCCTTATACTGTTTGGATATCTCATATTTATGCAATTACAGTGCACTCCCTCTCTTTTAAGACAGAAATGGAGTCTGAGGTTTGGACTGGATCAAAAAACACAGCTAGGTTGTCTAAATCAGATTAACTATGTGATTTCAAATTATCCTCATTCTGCTGATACCTAACTCCTGAGATATCAAAATAAGCCTGAGATTTCTTTGATGGAATTTCCCAAACATTTAAAGTCCTACTTCTCAGCATAGCCCAGAATAGTCAACGCTGACACTGTGAGCAGATCAAGGTAAAATGTATCTCACATCCAGGCTCTTTCAAGATCAGCAGCACTTCCTGTTCCTCAGCCCTACTAGCTGGTGGTTTATTCAATAAACCATACCTCTGTTCATCTCACAAATCTGACAGTAGAGGCTCTTGCTGCCTATTCAAACTTGACTGGAAGTGCTCATCTTCCCTACAAAGGAACAGTGGCCTGTGCAATTAAGATTCTCTCTGGCTTGTGTTTGATTTTGGCTTTTTTTTTTTTTTTTTTCTCTTTTCTTTTTCTTAGACCTACTTCAGGGTGCATAAGTCTGCTCTGAGCTACAGAGGCATTGTGTGGGTTGTCCTACATAGCCAGACTCCTATAATCTAGACTGAAATGCTGAACACCACATTACCCAGGAACTGTAGTTGTGGAATACAAAGATGCAAGGCCTTTGTCTTCTTGAAGTGATTCAGTTTTCTCCATATCCCATATTCTAGCAGAGTACTGGTCTTTCTGTGGTGGCTGAGACTCTACCATTCTCCCTGTAAAAGTTATTCAACTTTCTGTGGCATAGTTAAGGATGTTCTGGATGAGAGAAAAGCAGATGAGACCAGCATATCCAGCAGTTTAACAGGCACCACAGTTCTGAAGGTTAGAGTTGTACAAGTAGATCTCTTCAGGCAGAGGAGGGAAGGGATTCCATGTCTCAACTTGCTGAGAACAACACAGCACTCTTTCATGGGTGTGAATCCAAGCCCATCAGCACACCAGAGTGTAGCACTCACCGCAGGGTCTTGTGCTGCAGGGCTACAGAGTCTCCCTTTCACCTTGTATGTAGATCCAGCCCTATCCTGAATAACTTTCTAGCAGTGTTTTGAAAGAAAAGAGACCTTCAGGGGAGAGGACAGAAGTGTAAATCCTCAAAGACGCACTGCATAAGGCTTTCACACCCAAGAGAAAGAAGAAATTCTGTAACTTCAGCATTTCCCATTTGCTCACTCGGTGGCTTGCTGATTAACGCATTGTTTTTTAAGGATTCCCACTTTAAGGTCCATAAATCTCCTCATGGATTACACTACAGTGGCTGGTGACCTGGAGTGAAATGCTGAACAGAAGCCACTTTTTGTAACAATGTCTTGTTAGAAAACAGCTACCGCATGGATTAATAAAGTGATTAGCAATGACCTTTGTTACTCCAAGGTTGAGGCTCTGGGAGAACAAACTTCTTCGTATCTTTTAGTAAAACTTCATTCTGTTAAGCCTTTAAAAAACAATGCTGGCCCATGATCAAATTAGTAAAGCACAATTCTCTACCCACTTAATCTGAGGAAGGTGAGATAGCTCAAGAATTTTTTTATCTTTGGCACTACAGTACAATCAATTCTGTCTAAAGCACTCTAAAGACTTCTTTCCCCCCCAGCATTTTTATGTGCATTTCATTGTCAATCTGAGTTATCTTGAAAGTACAATACAAGAGAATGATGCAAAAATGATCTATGCTGGCAGAATCCAGATGTATGTTTGGTGCATTTTCCAGATCACCTTTATTCCAGTTTCACCTAACATAATCCTTCCAAACAGCAATCTTCAAAGTCATTAATGCAGAAGTATCAGTGATTTGTAACTAGGAACAAAATTTTTGACTGCAGCAGTCCTGTCTCATATTTTCACATCTGCTGCTATCAAATATGACTTCAAACTACCTGTACTTCCAGCTATTTAGTTTAACATCCTAGGAAGAGAGAAGTAATATTTTTCTTATAATGTTGGTTGTAGAAAGCATTTTGAATGTTCTTTTTTTTTTTTTTTTTTTTTGATGATGGATTTTTTTTTTTGGTTGGTTGGTTGGTCCTAGGGAGTTTACAGGAAGGCTCCAGAAAGCACTGTGGCGGTGCCGTCTACTAGCTTGTCTATCGCTCCTCCCACTTTCTACAGAGACATTCCTGTATGAGGCAGAGTATGGCAGCTCAGTCTGTACCTGCACGTAGGGACTGTGACTTCCAAAGTAAAGAGGATCAAGACAAAGGCAGTTTCAAATCCTTGTTTCAAGACACATGGAGGATTCAAGGTTTCACTGCATAGATCTCATGTGATTCCATTCTAGAACATCACAGACAAATTTTCTTTCAGAAGAAGTTTGCAATAAACACTGTAAATAAAATCCCTCCCTCTAAATGCCCCAAATTCTCTCAGTTTTAGAAAATGTTTATTTGGATAGTGTAAGAGAAGCAAGCAGTCAGTTTCACTCAGTAGCAAAGGCACTATTGCACTAAGTCCTTTAATGAACTGAATGTTGCCCTCACATTTTTTGACCCTGCAGCAATATAACCCAGTATTGGGTCTCAACCTAATGCATTTACATTTATGTTGACCCTTAGGATGATGATTATTTTAGGGAAACCAAAAAAATATTTTTTTTCCAAGATGTCTAGTACTCAATATTTTTTGGATTTTGTCTATTTGTTGGTACAGATCTGTACAACCAAAAATGATGTCATTTTGCATCATTTGCCATTAAAGTATGTTAATGCAGTATTTTCAATAGAGAAGGACATTTTTTTTCAGTTCAGGCTCCTTTAAAGCAGGTGAAATGTTCATACGTCTCTCTTCCCTGCTTTTTTCTTCCCCAAAGATCTATCTTTGCAGTTTTTCCTCCCCATGGCAGCATGGCTAATGTTTCATTGCAGAGTTTACAGATTCTGGGTGAAGAAGAAAAGCATGGTGAGAACATGAGGAGCTGCTATGTTTTCAGCACCAGCAGGATCACAGAGGTAGTGCTGAGAAAGAGACAGAGCAAACATGAGATGCTTCATCACAACCTAGCTCCATAGCTCCCTGAGACCACAAGAAATGCGTACTTGCAGAAAACCTGAAAAGTTTTCTCAAGAAGTTACCTTGTCCACACCCTTTCCTTTCCTGCTGTGAAAGTAACTAGAAAGGGAGGAGAGGAATGAAAACTGCCTCCTCATGCCTGTGCAGGCATCCATAGTCCTTGGTGATATGGAACTGATGCAACTGTAGCTTATTCCTGCCTTCTCACTAAAAGCATAGAAGGACTAGGAAACAAGAAAGGAAGAAAGAACACCAAGCCAGGAGCTTGTCCATTTTATAACCAAAATTTACTATCACAAAACAACTTAGAAGTAATTGTGGGAGGAAGACACTCTTGTCTTCATGTACAACGTGCCTTCCCCTCCCTGCTTTCTGGGAAGACTTAAAAAGGGAATGTGCCAGGTGTATACAGATTACATAGGTAACAGCAGAAGATGAAAGAAAACAGGTAATTTGAAAAAAAATACTTACTTTGGCTACTTCTATTAAAGCTTGCTCATCACAACAGCCACATTCTTAAAAATTTCAGCTCTTGGA